AAGATTTTGCATTAAGGTATATTACTTTGCTATTCTGAGCCTGTCTCGAGTCTTTCAATGGTGTCCACATATAAAAAATACCTGGTAATTCCTTGAAGTAAGTTGACAAGCCGATAAACCGGAAATCTTATTTATAATATCTAACTCTACTTCATTTTTCCTTTACTAAACTTAACAATTTCATTTTATTTTTCTTTTATTATGGTGATAATCAGTATAAAAAGAACTAATTTCTATCCTTGTCTTCCAAATTTACATATCGTAGGTTTAATAATCAGGACAAATATATCTTTCGTAAATCCGAATTTTAGTCGCGATATATTATTGAGCTAATGACTCAGCTTTGAGAAATTGTCCTTTAATATATATCTTGCACTGCTATTGGCACAACTTAATCAGCATGTAATTTTTATTGTCTTGGAGGAATAAAAATTCCAAGTTAAATATTGTAATATACAAACAAATATAATTAAGATTTCTAATTTAAAAAATTATTCTTATTATATATATACCTTATTTATTATCTGATTTTACATACTCTAAATGAGGAACAGTTTTTTCGCATAAAAACTGCCCGCCAATTTTGATGCACTGCTCTCACCACTAGTATGAATGATGATTCGGAGACCTATAAGTTATGGCGCATCAAAAAGAATATTCTCAAGGTTTATATGTTTTTGCTCACTCATTAGATGTGCAAAGACCGTGGTTACCTTGTCATAGCAAAGGAACTCGATCAGACGATAGAAGAATTTAAGGCCAATGTCGGCGATCCGCCTAGTCGAAAAGATTTAATTATGGTTGTAAATCATGAAGATGATCCAGCTGATATGCTTTTCGTATTTTTTCCCGAAGAAGATAAAGTAAATATGAAGACGATCCGTGCCTATCTTAATCAAATGCAACAGGACCACACATATAAGGCAATATTAGTTTTACAGGAGAAGGGGTTGACACCATCTGCCAAGACGGTAGCCTATTGATTATTATATAGCCTCCTTAGGCAATAGCCACGCTATCGTGTAAGTACACTCTTGAATGTTTTTTTGAGAACGAACTGATGGTGAATATCACGGATCACCAGCTTGTTCCAGAACACGTGGTACTTACTGATGAGGAAAAGAAGGAAATGCTGGAAAGATAGTTGTGCTTTCATTTATTTAATCTTTTAGTCGTCTTAAAGAAAGCATGGTTCCAAAAATGCAGGCCAGCGATCCCGTGGCGCGTTATTACGGCTTAAAAAGGGGACAAGTTGTGAGAATAGTTAGGCCGTCCGAAACTGCCGGAAAGTACATTACATATCGTATTGTCGTTTGACTATTTGTAAAATAAAATCTTTCTAATGCTAAGGTTTTTTGGTCTATTTTTTGCAGAAAATAACGACCTTGCGCGCGCCTTAAAGTAATTATTTACTTCGTACCTTGTCTTGTGTGCACCTAACTGGCTTTACCGCATGTATTTAGTGTTTAGCCCTGGTTTTTTTCTTTTGCAGCACTTGCTCACATTATTCTTTTAAATAAATTCACAGAGTTCTTAAATCAAATAAGATTTGTTTAGGCAAAAACACCTCGCCCCGACATGCTGCTATATC